TGTCACCGGCTTTCCCTGGAATTTTTTACTTGTTTGCCGTTGCTGTTCAATTAAGTATAACAAGTTATCTATATTGGAAACATACGAATAAGTTAAATCTATATTCATAAAAAAATTTCGAAGGTATGAGAAGAAAACTCGATTATTTTAAATCTCGGCAATTTATAGTAATCTTACGTTAATTTTTAACAAAGCCATGGAATGCAATACCATATTACCCTTCTAATTCCTCATCAACATCAATTAAAAGTAATGATTTAACATTCATATATTCACCGACAATCGTCAAATACCTTACAGTAAGGACTAATCGATGATCATTCCGCGTTTTCGATCGAAGCAAACAGGACGTGAGCATGACTTAAGTCTTAGCACATTTACCTGAAAGTTTCAAGGAGCAGCAGGACATCGGTGAAAGTATCTACTTTAATCGGCTACTGGCTGAGAAACGGATAAAGACGAAACGTCAGCTTGAGGCCGCTAACTTTGTACCCGTCGGCAATATGTAAAGATTTAACTTATCTAGCCATCAGTTACCGCAAAATTGAAGAAGGTTTCTCCCCATACGTGTAGGACAAGATTCATGTCGAAAATCTTCCCTGTTTGTGAACTGATTTTGATATTTATCTTCTTCCTCTGCCTTTCAGTGTGTTCAAACTTGAAGTTTTATAACCAAATTTTACTGTTGCCGTGTGAAATACAAAGCCAGTATACATAGCTAGAGTCAGTAAGGGTACGCTGCTTCTTTTACACAGCTATCTTATGCGATCCGCAACTTCTTTTCACTGTTTCTGCGCTTCCTAAACAGCTTTTTGGGAAAACAAACCACTGCGCACACTTTAACTGTACAACATAGTTCATTTAGAGCTTGGCTAGGTCAGTTTACGTTAAGTCACCTCAACTCTTCTAACTGTAGTGGGATGTGAAGTTGTCTGGATTTTTCATTTCTCCAAAAATGCATTTGTGCTACAGGTACTAGCACAGTCAGAAAATTCGCGTCGGCTGCGAACGCACGTTAGTCCGGCTACCAACATTCTCCAGCCTATTCTTCGCTAGCTCTGTACAGAATATATTATTCCTCCCCCCAGTCTTCCACTTCTCTTCCTACACGAAACGAGGCCTGAAGATCGCAGTTGCAGGGGTCATTTCTGTTGATTTTAGCCACTGCGACGGGCACAGATGCCCACGCTGTGTCTAAATCATTTATCACGGAGCCTAGATTCAAATACTGCATAATCCATGACAGAAACAGCACTAAAGTACTATTGGAAAATCTCATCTCCTCAGATGTAAAAATACTATATTTTCTTCCACATAATTTACGACAGAAACTGTATTAAATAATTATTGAAAAACGGCCTCTCCTAGATGCTAAAAATATTGCATTTTGCGCAATTGTTAAACTCTCTGCGATATTCCACAGCAAATTTGATAAAACACTCTAAAATTTAAAAATTTCACAAATATGCTTCTTGTTTCTACCCTCTCTGCTTCGCATATAGACAGTATTAACAGTTTGCAGACAAGGCCCAGTGTTATCTCTTGCTTAGTCCTTTTCACAATGCATAAATCTGAATGCGAAACAAACCAAGAGGGTGAAAGAGCAACTAAGAACTATAACGACGGAGTTAAAATTGCAGATAAGAGGTCATGGAAAGCCTCTAAGTAGGTAAGGATGTCCTCAATATAGCCCTGTGTTGAGCAAGAGACATAAACTCACGTGAATACACGCGGTCACTTGCTTTCAAACGTTTGCTTCACTTGAATGCATGTATGCGTTGCCACGATTTCTTAATAGTTAGTCAGGTTATTTTGGCCTACTGGTGTCCCATTATGTTTACAGAAAGTTTTCAAGTTGCAGCGTTTTACGAAGGCGGGGCCCCCCATTCACTCACGGCTGTCGAAGAGGCGAATAGGCGAGCTGGGTCATGCCCGCAGTTAAGCCGCCCACGGTTGGTCATGCCCGCATGTAAGCCGTCCACGCCTTGTGTAGAGCAAACGAGATGATCGCCCATATTGCGTGGGCAGTGGCCGCAGTCAAGACGGTTCCAGAATACCTAGACGCACACTATACGCCAGGAATATTCTAGAAAGACCGGAACCATATAAATATGCTGGAGTGGACTAGCTGAAAAATAAAACCCTTGCCTATCATAACCTCTCTCTTGCCTTCGTCTGTGTACTAGTCTGGTCAGAACAGAATGCGCGATAGCACAGAGTTTCCTTATTATCCTATATATATAAATTAAGTAAAAGAACGTTTCTATATTCATGGTTAATTGATGCAGCACCTACAAGGAGCTCTCATTTCTGCAACCTAACATTCCGATAGTCTTCGATTGACTGTTTAAAGATAATAAGTCTTCTAGTATTCCTTGTTGTTCAACACAACACACATTTACGTATGGTTAGCAAGAGGTGAACTCTTGTCCATAATTGTCGTCATAAACATGGAGAGTACCCTAGTTGCCACATTAAACAGCAAGTTTTACTTTACTTCCTAATAAAAAAAATTTGCCATTATTATGCAGTTTATCCGTCCTTTGGTAAACAGGGGCCATTTGATGTAGCCACCTAGTAATGTCAGTAGGACGGAAGTAACATCGGTTTGTGGCTTCATCCGATGTCCAGAATAAGTTAGCAGCGGTAGAGAGGTAAATAAGGAAACTCATAGCTGTAACAGAGAATAACCCCTGTAAATTGTTTCTGTTCATGCGCTCCTTCAGACTTTTACATTAAACTCTGTTTGGAAGCGCAGTTCTACGCAAATGTGGCATTATAAATACGTAGCTAAATAGCTTAAAAAGCATTCTTGAGTTTAGAGAGGGGCATTTAATCCTCCGTGTTCAGTAGGCTGAATTCGTTTCGCAAAATATTATTAAGTAGAAAGTTACTGACCAACAGCTAGAATTGTGACCCTTAAGATTTTATGCTTTTTGAATACAAAAGTGATTCCGTGGTCCTTTTTACCCATTGAATACCATTCGGAAATTTTAGACAGGTTCGTTTCTGCATTTTAACATACAATATGAAATGCTCCTCTTAGAAAAATGTGCTTTTCGGGACTCAATTGAAAGGGTATGCGTTTATAGAGAGGATACCAGTTAGAAAATAAAGGAAACAATGTATAAATTCACAACTTATTCTTGAAATCTCTCCACGCGAACGTTTATCACGGACATGAGCTTTTATAGTAGCTTATAAGCATAATCAACTGTAGGGTGGGTACGGACATACGCATTCGAGTATAGCTAACAATTAAAACAGTCATAAAATGTGCGAACCAGGAATAATAGCCTCCACAATGTAGGTTCTCCTTTTTTTATTTCTGCGTAATTTCCTAAGGATGTATATTATTTTTCCCAAGGGTACCTTCATTTATTTTCTTCGAATAAATATAAGTAAAAAAGTGGCAAACCGAATTAATCCCCAAACAATAATAGAGTACGGAATATAAACAGTACAACAAAAGATTTGGGGGATAATGTACAAATAGGCGATTTTCTAAGCAACTATTAAAACTTACAATTGCTAATGCATTTAAAATTTATTTGTCCTTAAGGCTTTTGGGCAAAAATAAGTTTGGTCGCCAAACTTAGCCACGTGTAGGCGTAGAATTCTGTATTACCGGATGGGTAGTAATTCGTGTTATGTGGATGGGTCCTATCAGGAGAAAGGAAACATAGATAAAAATGAGAGCGTATAAACGTACGAAATAATGAGAATAATTATTTAATAGCGTAATGTTTGGCGCGTATGAACTGAAATGAGGACGACAACCAATAAGAAACAAGAACTGCGCGAATAGTACCCGCGAATTGGATGCAATCCTATGCTTATTCCCAATAGTTTCTAATGCATTTTAAAATGTATTGGAGTTCCTTTTGGTTGTTTCCATTTGAGCAGGAAAATAGAATAAAGTAATTTTAACGGAATTATCTTCAACGCAAAGCACAATTTTAAACTTTTTGGAAAAATCTCCTAATTAAACGTTCATTTGCCTTTTCTTATGTTTAAGATGGAGTCCAATTAAGATTAATTGACGATACCTTTGACTACGCCGACCGATTTTGTTTGTGAAACTAACCCATACGTTACGAATGTTATGTTGCGTTCTAGAAATTAGAACTTTTTAACATGAATGAAAAATTGAGGCGAAGTTTTGCATCCCAGG